CTGTGATCAAAGCTGTATTTTCAGCATCATTACTCCAGTCTTCAGTGTCACATGATCTTCAGAAATCATTCTAATATGCTGATTTGCTGCTCAAGAAACATTTCTGATTATTATCAATGTTGAAAACAGTTGTGCTGCTTCATATTTTTTGTGGAAACTGTGATACATTTTATTTTTCAGGATTCTTTGATGAACAGAAAGTTCAAAAGAGCAGCATTTATTTGAAATAGAAATCTTTTGTAACATTAGAAATGTCATTACTGTTACTTTTAACCAGTTTAATGCAGAAAAAAAAATCATTTTATATCTTACTGGTGACACTGAAGACTGGAGTAATGATGCTGAAAATTCAGCTTTGATCATAGCAATAAATTACATTTTAACATATATTCACATAGAAAACAGCTATTTTAAATTGTAACAATATTTCACTGTGTTGTACTGTAGTTTTGATCCAATAAATGCTTAATTATTTCAAACCTTTGACTAGAAGTGCCTGATTCAAAATAGTAAAAAGGCCTGTAGAGAAACATATTTGCATTCTGTTTGCATTGCAAAACACAGGCAGAGAGCGTGAAAGGCATATGTGAAGAAAGCAAAACAACATGCAAACGATTCTGCAGGCTTCTATGGAAAACAGCAATATAAAAGATCATTTTTACACCACCTTCCAGCTAATCAGCATTCTTCGTGTTTGCTCTTCCTGTTATAAGCAAACGAAATAAATCCATGCGTGTAATAAAACCCAGGTCTAGGTAAATGTTAAAGGAACAGAGCAGCTATTGTGTCGCTCATTATCAGACAAACAATTACAGCTGTTCATACGGACTGACTAAATCAATCCCTTTAATATATTAATTATGAATCATAACATCAGCAGCTACCATGAATGAAAACAGAAGCTCATCACAACCCTGTGAACATCTCCTGTAAATAACCAGTGCAATAGAGCGAGTAAACGTCACTTACTGGCAGCTTTATCGTGATGTGTGCGATATCACTACCTTCCCTATCGTAAAATCATAACTAATTATGACTATAGTTCCTCTCTGGCTGGGAATGATGCCGCGGCGGCTTCACCTGAGCAGCTGAGGGTTCACGAAGGTAATGAGATCCTGCAGCAGTTTGAAAGCGGAGCCGATGAGGAAGTAGGGCCCGAAGGCCCTGAGAAGGGCCCGCAGGAACGAAGGCTGCCGCACCTCCCTCCGTTTGGACAGCAGGACCTCCTCCTCCTCCTCCTCCTTCTCCTCCTCCGGACTGACGCTCATATGGTTGGGTTCAGCGCCCGGGTCTGCCTTCCTAAACGCGGCCTGCTCCTTCACGCTCGGCTCACTGCACAGAAAAACAAGAACGGCTGATCAGCTGAAATGACTCTTTCAGCAGCCACGTCAAGGTCACGGGTTCGAGTCCCAGTGAATGCATGAACTGAACAAATGTACAGCTGAGTAGGTAGCTTCAGATAGAAGCGTCTGTCATATGCATGAATGTAAATGCATTAGTTTTGGGAAATCAAAACGCTTCTGTGCTCAAGAGCAAAGCTGAACCTGGACTCACGTGTCATTCTGCACTAGCGGCACCAAAAACACCTGCAAAAATAACTATTTTTCACGCCGTTTCAAAACGTTGCTTGTGTTCGCTTGTACAAAATACCCTACCCTTATATTAATATATTACACAAGCTACCAATAATGAAAACAGAAGCTCATCGTGACCCTGTGAACGTTTAAAAATTTAATTACACAACACAGAATTTCTGAGAGAGAGAAAAAACGAATAGGGCACTATTATTGTTGTAAAAAAAAAAAAAAAAGTATTACATTAAGTTGTTTTGATGAATTCTAGCTTCAGATAGAAGCGTCTGTCATATGCATGAATGTAAATGCATTAGTTTTGGGAAATCAAAACGCTTCTGTGCTCAAGAGCAAAGCTGAACCTGGACTCACGTGTCATTCTGCACTAGCGGCACCAAAAACACCTGCAAAAATAACTATTTTTCACGCCGTTTCAAAACGTTGCTTGTGTTCGCTTGTACAAAATACCCTACCCTTATATTAATATATTACACAAGCTACCAATAATGAAAACAGAAGCTCATTGTGACCCTGTGAACGTTTAAAAATTAAATTACACAACACAGAATTTCTGAGAGAGAGAAAAAAACGAATAGGGCACTATTATTGTTGTAAAAAAAAAAAAATATTACATTAACTTGTTGATGAATTCTGTGCTGTCAATCGATTAAAAAATTAACTAATCACACATTTTTGTGTAATTAATCACGATTAATTGCATATTAATATAGTTATATTGTAATTTCACATTGAATTTCCAAATTAATGTAGGAACTACAAAGAAGGTATATGTTAAATATGTGTTTAATGGCATCTTTTTACTAAGTAGCCTATTATTAATTAAAGCATCATTAATAGCAATACTGCTACTGATGTCTCTATTAAATGCATTTCCCCTCAATTTTAGCCATTGATTATAGAAATTCAACATTATAGTATAACTGATAGCCATTATTTTTAACATTCAATAGGCTTTGAAAAATATAACAACTTTTAATTTAAGTGAACTTAATACAATCTTCACATAAACTACACATTAAAATTATATTTCAAATATTTAAATTATATATTTAAATTCTATATTTAAACGATACATTTTCTTTTGTTCTTTGATTTCCATCAATGACAGACTGCAGCAGGTTTCCCTTTAAAAGCAGCGCTGTCTCTTTAAAACTTGATGCACATTACGTGGATCTGACAGATATCCGGTTTTCTCCCAGTTCTTTACAGTCATTTAAGACTTTTTAGCTCATTTAAAAGCATGCTTACGAGGTCACTCACCAAAAATGGGCACATTAATCGCACAATTGAAACTGAAAAATTAACATGGGGGGGGGACGGAATTTGGAATTTTGGAAAAAATCCTGGAGCTTAGTGTTACTTACTGTAAACAAGAAATAGCATTCACAACCTTTTTAATTGACCCAGTGTGACAGTGATTGTGAAAAGAAATGAAAATCTTCATTTTCTGTTTGAATTTATACCTCTGTGCTTTAGATTTCTCCACCTCCCATTCATTGAGCAGATTGGGAACCACCAGCTCTGAACTGTCTTGCTTGTTCAGCGACCAGAGATCTTTATTCTCCAGTGGGGATTTATAGCCTTTGATCGCCATGCTGTAAAACACAAACAAAAATCTGTCTTAGAAACACCTTAAAACAAGAATTCTTCTGGCATCGGACAGTCATTTTTCAGTGCTTTTATTTTTGTTGTTTATGTCGAATTAAAGGGACAGTTCACCATTCTGTCATCATTTACTCACCCCCATGTTTTCTATCCTCTACAGAACACAAATAAGAAGATATTTTGAAGAACCTAGACATTTCTCAAAATGTCTTCTTTTATGTTTCAGAGAGGAAAGAAAGTCCCAGAGGTTTGGGAAAGATATTAGACCATGTCAATTTTTTGGTGAACTGTCCCTTTAAATCTTACACTTTGGCTTGAGAAAATATGTGCATTAATTTAAAATCCAATATTTAATAAGACATCTTACAATTGGGCTAAAACATGTGGGGCACCTTTGTTTCTTTGTATCCCAAAAGCAATGTAAACCAAACAAATTTAGGTTATAAAAATGTTGCGGAAACATTGTCGTGAAATGTTTCTAAAAGTTATAAATATCCAGTTTTATTCATCTTGATTAGAACGTCGTTTAAAGGTTACAAAAACGTTTCTTACAACATTCAACTAACTTTATTTTCACCCCAAATGTAACAGTATTTGAATGTTTATTTTTAATATTCTAAAAAACTCATAGATTCATAGAGTTGATCGAAGAATGTTTTCTCTCAACATTATGAGAATGTATATCAAATATTAATGAAGCTATAAGAATGTTCCATAAACATTACTTTAGGAACGTTTTGTCCTAACATTTATATAACTTTTAAAAACCATTAGTGTTTTTAAAAACAGCCACTTTTATTACTTTTATATTTTATTTTACTTCATATTACTCACCTAGTAAACCACCAAAAGGTCATTTTGGAGAGGAAGCCAGCAGTAATTTCTGGACAAGCATTCTGAAAATCCAATAAAAACACCACAGGCACTTTTTAGTTTGCTGTTCTGACCTTTCCATGACCTTTCTAATGTTCAAATTCAAAGATCCACATAATCCACAGTTTATGGCACTAAATCATTCTTTTATTCAATCTTGTATTTTGAAAGCATGACAGTTACCGCTGGCCCTAGCTCACACACACACACACACACACACACACACACACTTACAGGATCTGTGACCACGCTGGAGAAGAGAGGAGGCTTTTCATTGAAGCATGATAGGATGAGTTGAATCAGGGTGAGGCCGAAGTAAATGTAGAACGTGGTGAACCTCAGCTTGTCTTCGACCCCATTCTGAAAACAGAGAACGCTGCTTTATCAAGTAATCGTAACATCTCTACACGCCGCATCACAGACGCCCTCAGCCCTGAGCGTGTCCTTATTCCACCCAACCCTGCTCTTTATGATATCTAGTTCTTATTTGATTTCACAATGTCAGACCAAGCCTGTTCACATCGGGCATTCACCCCACACTCACGCCCTCAGTCACGCTGTCTGTCAGGATGGTCGAGACGCTCAAACAATGAGTGATGTTTTGAATAATGTCACAATGTTTTGAGGAAATTGACCTACAAAGAGCTAACTTTTAGTTGTATATCCTCATTATGCTTACAGAGGAAAGTATTTTTTTAAAAATGACATTCGTTAACTAATGAATCTTTATGACCAAAACACCATTTGATAAAATATCTGAAAAAATGTATAATGCACATATTAATATTCATAAATATATCTAAACAATATAAATGCACAAACGTTATTCATATTATTAAATGAATTTATCTGAAAATTTGGAATGCAAAACATGCATGAACCATGTTAATATTATTAAATGAATATATCTGAAAAATGCACAACATGCACAAACAATATTAAAATGAATAAATTAATATATCTAAAACAACATAATGGAAAACATGCATAAACAATAATAACAGTATTCAATGAATATATCTGAAAAATGTATAATGCACAACGTGCACAAGCAACATTAATAGTATTAAATATATCTGAAAACTCAAAATGCAAAACATGCACAAAAAATATTAATATGATTTAGTGCTGTCAAACGATTAATCGCGATTAATCGCATCCAAAATACAAGTTTTTGTTTACATAATATATGTATGTGTACTGTGTTAATTTATTATGTATATATAAATACACAAACATACAGAATATATTTAGAAAATATTTACATGTATATACATTTATATTATTTTATATTATATATAAATATATTTGATATATAAACATAACATATTTTTCTTAAATATATACATGCATGTGTTTGTATTTATATATACATAATAAATATACACAGTACACACTCATATATTATGTAAACAAAAACTTGTATTTTGGATGCGATTAATCGCGATTAATCGTTTGACAGCACTAATATTAATAAATTAATATGTCTGGAAAATGCATAATGCAAAACATGCACAAACAATATATTATTAAATTAATATATCTTAAAAATGCATCATGCACAAAACATGCACAAGCATTACTAATATCATTATATATTTTTAGTTACAATATTTGAGCGTTCCTGCAGAGCATGGCATCTCAATTCATGGGTTCAGTCCCTCAGGGAATGCATGAAGTGAATAAATATACTTTGAATAAAAGCGTCTGTCAAGTGCATATAATTTATTATTCAAAATTCTAAATCAGATGGCATTTGTCATAACCAGGAGCAAGAATCAGACTTATTTGACTTGGAAAACAGCGACAGCCTTGAGTTATGTTTGTTGCTCTAGGAGTTAGATAAGCTGTCTTGAAGCAGGTCTTAGGAAGAACAGCAGCCCTATTCTCTCAAAACATGGCCTTAACTGAACTCCTTCAGAGCCGAGAGAAAGCTGAACATGTAGGTCAAAAGATGCATGTGAGGAATAAAACGGGAGGGAAAAGTGCAGAAGGGGAGAGAGTCGCACATTACTGCTGGCAGAGCAGTTTCCATGGTTAGACTGAAATGAAATACTCCATAATGGAATATCTGCTTAAAACGGACATACTGACCTGATACACGATTTTGGAGCGGAAAGGCACGATGGCACACAACACTGAGATCGTCCAAAATATGAAGAGCACACCGGACGACTGCACTCCCTTCAGCCTCTCATACTGGATCAGGAACGTGGCTAACAGCTAGAAGAGACAAAAGACAGAGAAAGACTCACAAAACATGGAGATACACCTTCCTTCTGAGCACATATACTGACTTTTGGATAGTGCATACAATATAAGTGGAGACATACAGTGTCATACATTTTATTAGACTATTTATATGTTCCAAATTACATGATAAAACTTGTAGTTAGTAATGTAATCCATTACATTACACATTTTAGGTAATGTAATCGGACTGCTTTTAGATTACTTTTAGATCACTTAGATTTTTTTCAAAAACAAAAGCCTACCAAAGACAAAGAATGATTAAAAATGTAACCAAAATCAAAAGAATGAATTCAAATTATTAATTAAAACTATCATCTTTTTTATATTAATATTTATAGTTTTTATATGTATATTAATATTAACAGAAAGAAACTAGATACTCAAATAACAGTGGGGTCAATTATAATCAAGTTTTTCATGACTATTGTCCACACTCTCTACTCCACTATATGAAAGTCAACAAAAGTGCCTGAATTGCACAGATTCATAAAACAAATCATGTGCTTCACGTTCATATTGATCTGTTGTTAGACATGCGTGGACGTTATGAGAACGAGCCATTGTTGAATGAAAGGCTTTTTTGGACTAGAGAGATCTGAAATAGATTTTAAGATCTGACACACAGGACACAAGCGACATATTCAGCATCTGTTCACACTTACCATTGTCATGCCAACTATTAGAGGAGTTATGAAATATATTGGGGGTTTAGACTGATTCTGGCTCATCTCGTGAAATGAAGAAAACAGGTCTGTCCAGCATACGATCCACAATATCAAGCCGAGAACCTGCACACACAAATACAACGAATTATTACAAAGAGATAGCAGAGAACTCCAGCACACCTCAGAGACGTTCACATCTCCTACCGTTTTGATTCTGTTCAATATAGACATCATGATGTAGCCTCTGTTGTTCCTCTTGAGGTAGAGGATGTAGAAAGGAGACGCGAGCCACAGGTAGATGCAGGGAGTCCATGGCAGGACGGACAGCTGAAAGCATGCTGGGAGATCCGGCAGGTTTGTGTGCTTCGTGAGATTGGAGTCCTGAGGGAACACCAACAGCAATTCAGATTCACAGTTCCCAAACTACTACATGATATAATATGTAGCACAAAGAACAGGAGTCTATTCGATTTGAATCAGTTCATGCATGGGGATTTTGGTGGGAATCAAACCCATGATCTTGTGAGCATCATGCTCTCAAAAAAGCACACAAAAATAAAAATTCAATTTGTAAGAATGCACAACATGCACAAACAATATTAAGATTATTATACATTTTTATATTCAATATATAATATTTGAGCTGTCCTGTAGAGCATGGTGTCTCTTTATGAGCTCAAGTTAATATATGAAGTGAATAAATATGCATACTTTGAATGCTTTTCAAACTTATGATGAACCATTAGAACTCACAATATAAGCAGAACTATGAATATGTATGATTTTTTAAAATTATGATAAAAAATTAATAACCTAGAACTCATACCATAAACAGAAATATCAATATTTATGAATATTTTTCAAATTTATAATAAAAAAATTATAAATTACATTGGAACTTACAATATAAGCAGAAACATGAATATATATATAAAATAAAATCTAAATTACACAGGAGTAGCTCAGGAATATGAATATGCATCCTTTAGGAGTGTATGATAAATCGGTACCATAATTAATTCAGCTGATATTACAGATTTTTTAAATGTATCATTTGATATTGGACAATTATCAACTGATGTTGGATATTTTATATTTTATGCTAATTTCTCCTATTTTTACATTTCGATTACCTTTGTCATCCTCCATTCTCACTTAAAGTTAATCTTTAAAAACACAAAAAATTAGTAAGTGTGGCAAATCTAAAAGTAAGTATCCATTTTTCATGATGTACATTATAATTAGAGCCTGACATATATGAGTTTTTTGGGGCCGATACCGATATTAGGGAGTAAAAAAAGATATATCGATATATCGGCCGATATTCTTTGTGCATATTATAGTACAGTACCAGTCAAAAGTTTGGACACTTTCCCATTCATATGTCCAAACTTTTGACTGGTACTACATATAGACAGTATATACATAAACAGAATATATATACATAAACACATTTTTTGCAATGATCAATCAAATGTGGTGATCAAACACTTGACAGACATGACAGAGATATGTAATGGAGGCAGGGCATTTAACAATAAACTTTATTATCCAAAATGAGTCTGACATCAGTGCACTGAACAGTAATGTTGAAGTTTATTCAACTTTATTTCAATTAAATTCCAATCAACTTTATTCCGTTGAAGTTTATTTCACTTCGGAGCATTCATTCACGGATTTGCGCTACTGTCTTCACACACAGACAAAATAAATACAATATAAATAGGGATGCACCGAAAAGAAAATTCTTGGCCGAAGCCGAACAAAATTAAACACTGTTCGAATACCGAACACGGTTTTTCAAGTTTTTTTCCCCATGTATTTTGCC